TGGAAACAATAGATGAGATGATCATCTTAGCTTTATTCACCAAAACCATATTAAGTCTTCTTTTCAATCTTTTCCCACCATATCCCTTCTTCCTTTTCCAGCCCAGTGACTTCTGAAGGACAATAATGCATTTCCAAGTTGGATGGACTTTTCTTTATTCCTGTGTCCCTAAAGACACATAAATAGTCTAGGCCAGCTGGGATGGATATTATGTGAAATTCAGGAGGCACAATCTGACAAATTGAAGGATTTGAAAATCTGGGCCACAAAATATTTGTGTGGAGTTCCACAAATAATCAAAAATGTATAATATGATGTTTTTGACCAACCCCGAAAAATTATATTTTTACAAGAGACCCTTTTTCATGACAGACAATTTTGTCCCATCTCATTTGGCACATACACATTAGCACAGAGATCTTATGGGCATTAAGGTCATTGTCAAGAGAGTTGGTTTATTTCAAAAAATATGGTTTTCTTGTTAACACTTCTTTCAGAATATAATTGTGTCATTTAATATGATAGGTAGATGACACATAATAGCATACATGCACTAAAATACAAGAAGATATTCAACATGCCCCCACCATATTTAAAGAATCAAAAGCATAAAAAGAAAGGTACAGATGGAAAACATTAAGGTATGTTAAGGACCTCTTTTATAAAACCCAAATCATAATGATGTTAAGAAATGTACGGATCTAGTAATATTTAATAGACATGGATGGAATTACAATAGAAAAATTCAACAAACGGTAAAGACTTTCTGATCTATCTAGTTTAGAGAGAAGAAAAAAAGGCACTGATCCATCATCCTAGGGCTAGAGATGACCCATTTAGTAGCTTTTGCCATTTTGGTAACCAGGACTAGGACCTAACAGATTAAAATGACAATCATGCCCTCAAGTGTACCTTCAGGATTCAGTTGAATGAAAACCCCAACTTTTGGTCGATATGATATCAAAGTAGGGATATTTTTGCCTGTTTAACTGTGCAGGCTAGACCTACGTTTTAAAGCATCCTTTCAGTTTTGTTTATTAAATACAGATAAATAATGCTCTAGGGCATTGTAGTGAAAACTGAAAAGACATGAAACAAGAAACGTGGTGAGCCACTGGAGTGTCTGGGTCCTCATGTTTAATAGATGAGTCGATGGTGAGCTGGTTCCTGGTGGCAAGCATCGTCGGCTGTTCCAAGAAGGAAATGAATACTGAGGACTGAGGAGAGGGCAAATCTGTTGGTTGGATGGTGAGCAAAACATATTACAAAGAATCCAGAACCGACTGCCATTCTCTCTCTCTCTCAGAGGGTTCTGAACTTGATCAGAAACAAGGGAAGTAAAAGAAAGCTCTTTACTTGCATTTAATAATAGACACAGACTATTCCCCATGCTACATCAGGTTAGGACAACTTAAAAGTTGAAAGCCCCTTTCCCTTCTCAACACAGTGATAAGAAAAACATTTCAGCTATTCTTCACTCCCAGCTCTGATTCCGCTTGCCACCGGACCTCCATCTCTACTCATATCTCTTGCAAAAAAAAATTAGGAAGAAGAAACACTAAAAATAGCAGACAAATGGTAAAACCCCATATGGGTTTTAGCTCAAGCAAAACAGGAGCAAGAGACCCATTTTGTTCTGAACCATCTCAATCCAAAAGACCCATAAAAAATATTGATTAAAGAAGCAACAGAGCACCAAATCACTAAAAAAAGCAACTAAATCTTGACACATTTTAAAAACCCACAACCGTAAGAGCAATCCCACTAAACTGAAACATCCAAACAGAAACGCCAATGTGGAAGAGAAGAGAAAGAGAGGAGGAGAAAGAGGAAGAAGAAGAAGTAGAGAACGCACCTTCGTCAGCAGTGACAACAGAGGCAGCCAAAAGCAAAAGAAGAAGCAGAGGGGCCATAGATTCCCAATACGCCAAAGGCCAAACCTTACTCTCGCAAGCAACAGGCAATCCACCGAGAATGAATCTGAGAAAAACCCACTAACGAGAGAATGACTAAAGAAGAAGAATGGCGAGAAAGGGAGCTCCTTTTTTAAGCCAATGTGCGTGGGGAAGACTGAGGAGTGTGTGACAGAGTGAGGAAGTGAAGAATTAAAATAAAAATAAAGTTTTTTAAAGGTGTGAATGGGGTTTTATAAGAGAAGGGATTTTGTCCTTCTGGGATGTTCTCACCCATCACGTGGCTTCTGTCAGAAATCGGACGGTCAATATTCCCTTGCTATTCTCTTCAACCAGTCAACTGACTCAAGCACTATAATGAACTAATCAAGCCCCATCGGTCAATACTCTTTCGAGCCATTACTCCCGTTGGATTATTTATCTGACCTCACCAAGACAAAATATGCCGATCCTACTGCAAAAACACGATCAGTGTACAGAAACAATATTTCAACATTTGTACTATATCATCGCCCTTCAGCTATCTTATCGCGGTGTACGAGGAGACCGCCAAAGCTGACGTGGCAAACTACCAGCTGGAATCAACGGTCATATTCCGGACATTACTACTACTATCACCTTCTTTTTTTTAATTTATTTTGTTTTTTTTGGGGAATCCGAGCTAAAATGCTCTTGGTTGCGCAGTGAGTGCAGTACGCCAGATCCCTTTTTTCGAAGAAGAGCTCTCACCATTGAAGCGCTGCCACTTTCAGTGCAATGCATGCCCGCATGGCTGTGTTTTTTTCTCGTTTTAACCTCAGTGTACAGTACAAAGCAACGGTCTAAAGACAGAACGGTGGAGCCGGTTGGAATGGGACCAGACCTTCATAGTTTCTACCGGTTCGCTTCAGATACCCATATACAATGTTTTAAAACCGATTCGGAACCGAAACCGCTTTGGCCACCTGTTTCTGGGTCAGCGGTTCGACTGTCAGGTCCAGATGGATGGCCCATCACATTTAAAAAAATAAAAATAATAATTGAAATAAAAAATGGTCAAAACCGTTCATCTGATGAAATAAATTGATGGTTCAATCGCCTAGGTCAATATGTCGTTGATGGTTTAAGATAAATCAGAACCAACTGGATAAACGATTTTTGGGTTGAATAGTCCAACCGTCTATATCAATGATGGTGGTTCATAAACCATGCCTATATATATTTAATAATTTTAATTGGCCCGAATCCAATTGAAGTATTTGAATGTTGGGTCTATCCATCAATGTTAGGAAACTTGAGTTTATTTTCCCTTAACCCAACAAATCGAGCTTGGTCCACTGAACATTCAGCCAACAGAGGTTTCATTTCATCAAACCCAATTTGGCCTATCAAATTGGGAAAAGGTGATCTGAATTTGATCTGATTTTTAATCAGATTCTACTATTCAATTCAATTCAATTTAATCCAAAAGGAAGATATTTAAATCTAATAAAATAATATTAAACTTTGGATAAATTAAATTAGATCATAATCCGAACCATTTAAACCAAAAAAGAGACAAGTATTGCTTCTTCTCCTTTATTTTTGGTAGGCCAGGGATATCTTATTAATGCTAATCTTATTATAAAGAATAGGAACGAAGATATTGCCACTACTTTACAAGCATATCTTCATCCTCTGACATGAAATTAGAGGAGAGTGTTTCAGCAATCATACAGCCTTTTTGAGAGTCAGGCACATGTATTGTCATATGGAAACCAGTGTTGTTGCTTGGCCCGGACTGAATACAGGCTTTTTGGACCAAAAACCAGCAGCCAAATCAGTTGGGTTTCTTGGGTTTTTCCTAGAAAAATGTTGACTTGTCAAATTTATTCCAAGTACATGTTTCAATGTTGATCCAGTTTTTCTTTTTATTCCCTTATTTGGTGTGGTGGTAAAATCTTGGACTTCAGATAGCCCGGAAAAACAGAAACACCAAGAAAATGAAAAAGGAAGAAAAAAAGGGGGTGATTTATTGCCTCTCCCCTCTTTATCTCAGTCTTCCTTCTATCTATTCTCTCTCTCTTTTTTTTTTAATATATAAATATATGTTTTGCATTTTATTTTTTTATTGTCATATTATAATATTAAAAATCAATATTTAATGGTTTATATAGCTTATTTGAATCATGACTCATGAATAATTTGAATGGTTTATAAGTTTAACCATTTGGGTCAAATAATATTACAAAATCAATTATTGTGGCCTCACCTTGAATTAGATGAAGTGATGTCGTGATGGGCACGGGCAGAAGCAGGGGGTGGCAGAGGGGAGCCATGACCCCCCTATGCCTTGAAAATTCTCATAGTAATTGTTTAAATTCTACATATATTTTGTCCCTCTTTTTCATGTTTCTTATCTTTTGACCCCCCTCAATAAAGAATCCTAGCACCGCCCCTGAAAATGATAGGCTATAATAGTCATGATTTACAATTTTAACTTTGTGTTAAAATCATGTGATAGCAAAAATGAACTCATGATCTTGACTAAAATCAACAATTCTTTTATATTATTGGCCTTAGGAGTAAAAGGAACCTAACTTATAATTTAGATGACAAATCAAACCAACGTTTTAAAAAACATCTCAGAAACAGAACCTAACTTATAATCAGGTCACCAGTTTCTGGGTAGACAGTTCAATCATCCAATTCGAACGGATGGTCCGTTCTGAAAAATAAACTAAAAAAATAATTAAAAATAAAAAATGATCAAAACCGTTGAACGAGTCAACAATTCGACCACCTTAATTAATGGATTGTTGACTTTTTCAATGATTTTTGACCAAAAATCAGGTTTGGAGTAAAATGGAACTGATTGCTTGGACGGTTCCTAAGTCGAACAGTCCAAGTGTCCAACCATCCAGATCAACGACAATTTGAAAACCTTAAATCAAACAACTCAATTGATCATACGGTAGTTAACTGAGGGACGACTCAATTGGTATATTATCTGATTCATTACAGCAGAGATGGGGATTCCACAATACCTCTACCACCAACTTCGGGGATGGGTGACCATACAGCTAAAAAAATATTGATTGGGTAGGGTAACCAACAAGATGATTGAACCATTCCACTCGGGTGGCAACAGGGGTAGCCATCCCCTATGCAGATTGATATACCCCAATCCTGGTGGTTGGTGGCAGGCTGGCAGCCAAATTTGATCCCAGGGCTCTACGTTTTTTTTTTTCTTTTTTATAGTATTTAGTGATACACCCGAATCCCCCCATAGGGGCCATTAATACAGTACCACAATAATAATTCTTTAGAAGTCGGGGTTGTAGGAATCAAATCCACGTCTATATTGAACAATCCAGTTAACGTACCAACTGAATCATCACTCATTTGCATCTCAAGTCTCCACTTAAAACCATTAGACCTACCACTAAGGGACTTGGATCTATTATCCACATGACATTTTACAGCTGTATATAGAAATGACAACCGGGTGGGGCGGGGCAGGTGATCTGCTTCTCACAGATACATCCACTGTGCATTGGGAATATCTCATCTCTGTGGTGAGGAGCAAATGCGGTCTCGTCTTCGTGGGGGGGAACAAATCCTCGAATTTAACCCACCCCGCCCAGATCTAATCGACTCATTGACAGCTCGAATTAAACGTTCAAAATACAACTTCGGCAATTAATGTATAGTGATTGATGGTACCTTTTCTTGATCATATGTGGTGGGTTATTCACCAATAACTCATCTAATGAAAAAGAAGCACCAAATTTGGGTTTAAAGCAGCAAAAATTCATTTAAGGGTTGAAAAATCTTAGAGCTTGCCACCGAAACCCCAAAATGGTAGATTCTTTACATTAGTTTGGCATGAAACAAAAGGATACTTTTAAGTTTTTATCATGTAAGAAAAATCCTTGGGAAGGAACGGAAGAATAGTTGATGACAAGTTTGAGATTTAAAAGTAATTAGAGGTTTTTAATTACTGAAACTGAATTGAATGCTACCTCATTCTCAGAAACCTTCTGACTTTTGAGTCATGAGAAACAGTCTCTTAATTTGTCTAAATTCTAAAATAGACCCCAGTGTATTGGGGATATCTCTCGATATTCCCAATACTTGACAGTGGTGTTTTTTATGGAGAGGGATGTTGGAACTGTTTTGTGGGTAACAAGTCTAAAGTGCCAACTAGACCACCATTCTAACAACATTGATAGTCAGAAAATGAGAATTCTTTAAAAATGATGAATTGATGTAGTATGCAGTTATTTGAACTAAGGTTATGTTTGGATAAATGTTTTGAAAACTAGACCGGTTATCAAACTAGGAAGGCACCGCACCGGGTTCCTAGTCTCTTGCTTTTCATTGAAGCAGGAAGGGGTTTGGTATATGTCGAATTTGATCACAACAGGTTGATTTTGTTCAAATTCAAAAACAAATGTTTTGGATTGTAGAATACTACAATGGTTTAAATTTCAGGTTGTAATGCATTGAGACAAATCATCAAACTAAGGTATCCTATGAACCGTTTGGAACCCCCACCTCCCCCAAAAGAACTTTTCATTGTGGACCAAGAAATCAAAAGATAACCATTTATACATGATCTTGAAAAGTGATCGGATTATGGAGTCAAGTCCAGTTTTGGATCCAAAAACCATTTGATCAGGGTTTGAACTAGATGATCAGACCATTTGACCTAAGAACCGGTGGTCAAAACGATTATAAATGTAAATAAAAAATAAACAATATAAGCATGTATTAGAAGATGCGAGCTCACAAATGCTGAGGAATGATTGTCCATAACAAATGAAAATATATAAACAAGCTTTGTTGTTTTATGCAAACTAAAGCAAAATAGCCTGCAAAAGAAAATATTCCCATTGCATTAACCAAAACCATGTTCTCCCAATAACAATTCTTCAAACTATATTCGGTAATTTTGCTCATATCAAATCAAATACGTACTAATAAATTTTTGTTTTGTAAATACAAAACAAAGAAAGCTACAAAAATCAGCCCTCCATAACACTGCCCCCCACAACGTCCCACAGCACATCTCTTCCATATATTGTAAACATCTTTCGATGATAATATTAGGAATGATGATGTCATTATTCCTAATATTATATATTTCAATACATGGCGGAAATGTGCTGTGGCATGTTGTGGGAGACAGTCTTGTAGGGGCTGATTCGGTCTCTTCATGTGCAGGAAATTCCCAAACAG